AATACTACAAGTAATTTTATTTATTTAATTTACTAGAGATTTAGCTTCTTAAATACAGGACATAGAAAGATTTTAAAATTAGTATAATTAAATTTTATTATAATTAGAAATTTGCTTTTTTTTAAATAATAGTACTATTATTTATATACTTCTATAATAGTAAGTAATTCTTAGTTATTTATAAAATATCTGTATTCCACGTCCGTCATCTTCCTTGAGAAGAATATAATGGGATACCAGATTTTTTTTATTTATAATTATAATATAATTATATTAATTATAAAATTTAATAAATCTATTTTAAGCTTAATTTATAGCTCTGGATTAAAGTATTATAAAAGTAATATATTTTAAAAAATCTTTTTTAGTTTTTTAAATATTCTTCTTGCGTCCGCCGGGAGGCTCAAGAGTTAATCTAGAAATATATATTACTAGTAATTTTATTTTATTATTATAAGAGATCCTGCTTTTTCTTTCTTTTTTTTTAACACGTGAATTCCGTGAGGGGGAGAGTAATATAAAAATAATTTTTAATAAATTATTTATAAAAATTTATAAATTCTATAAAAACCAGGATTTCGCGCGCAGATTTAGATTCTAGTTATAATTAAATTATATTAACTTGTTCTTTTTTTATCAAGATACTTTCTAGTCTAATTTTAAATTCTAAGTAATATATTTTTTATATATAAAACTTATATTTAGAGATCTTTACTACTAACTAATATTTTTTTAGATAATTTAATACTATTTATATATACTCAGTATATTCCTCGTAACTTTATAAGTATATAAGAATATTGTTAAGATATATAATATAGCAGATATTAAATAAATTATTAAATATATAGTTTATATAGCTCTGGAATATAGCAGGCGCGTTAACTAGACTAAATAATATAATAATATATTTATAATAGTTATAATAAATATAAAAAATAGTTTTCTATTTATTACTCTTTTTTATTTAAATATAATAGTAAATATTATATAAGTTAAGCTTGGTAAAGATCTTTACTCTATTAAAATAATCTATTATTTTATTAATTAGTAGTAAAGAGTAGTGATCTTTGACAATAATTATATTTAATCTGTAATAATTTATATAGAAGTATAGTATACTATCTTTTTTAAAAATAAATAAAATAAATATACCTGCAAGACTTCAGAAGGGGTGAATCTATTTTTATTATAATATAATTATAATATATTTATATAAAATCTGGAGCTCAGTCTTTAAAAAATTATAAATTAATTAATATAAAAATTATTTCCTTGTTTCTAATTCAATTATATAGTTATAACTGGAATATAATATTAAGATACCTACTTATTTCTTAGAGAAGATATCTATAAAGTTATTATATTTATTCAAAAACTCAGGCATAATATCTTTAATAATATTTATTTTATTATTATATTTTACTACTCGCACGCAAGCAGTATCTGAATCTATATAAATTTATATTATATAGATATAAGCTCCTTTTTTAATAGCAGTACTAATATTTTTTTTACTAATTAATTTAAAATATATTTTTTTATATAATAGTACCAGTTTTTTTTTTATTTAATATCAGGGTTTTGGCTTCGCAGCCAGAGCATATTTAATATTATATTAAAATCTTATATATTTATAGTATTAAATTATTATTAACTAGTTTTCTTCTTGCTCTTACAGTCTGTAGCACTGACTGCGAGATTATATTATTTATATAAGAGTATATAATATCTATTTAGAATCTCTATATAATAGGGAGCTTAATTTAGTAGATCCAGTTATTATTTTATTTATAACTAGCTAATAAGGTTTACCTGCGCACTGCAGTTTATTAAAATATATATAGATATAGATTCTTTAAATATATTAATTTTTATTTATATATTAATAAAATTAAAACTTCTCTGCAGCTGGAGTCCCAGTACTATTATTATATATAGAACTGGAATATTTAGTTTTTTATCTGTACTGCATTCTCTGGACAGCAAGCTGCTATATATTCCAGTTTTTAATATTAATAGTATTTAATATCAGATATAAAGTAATTTATTTAAGATCTTTTTTTTATTATATTTAAATCAGTTCTAGATTTTAATTTATACTTCCGGGATCCTGTATTATCTGGATTATTATAATTTTCTTAAAATAATATTTTAGTATTTTTTTATTTAACTGCGAGTATTTTGTACCAGTTTAGTATTTAATTCTTAATAGTTTATAAATATATTACAAAGATATTATATATATTTAATTCTTTAAAATATTTTAAGACTTTCCTGTAAATCTCTTTTAATATCTGGATATATAAATAATCTTTCTATTAGTTCTCTGTATATAACTCTAGAAGCTGGGTATATTACTAATAAATATACTATATAAATTCCTATATAAATTAGTAATTTTCTTATTTTATATCTTAATAATACTGGTTTGCATCCCTTCGCAGGTTTATAGGGTCGTTGAGTTATTAAAAAAAGAATTTACAGTATTCCAGCTAGATTAAAACAGATTAACTACTGGTAAGTATTTTATTACTATATTACTCCTACTGGAGAAGTAATAGGAAGCAGAAATAAAAAATAATATCTATTATTTTTAAATTATCTTAAATAAAATAATATATATTTCATATAAAATAATTTTTTATATAAGTTATATAAATATAGTATTCAGTTATTTCTTTTTTATAATATTTTTTATCTATCACAGGTTTAATAGATAATCTTATTATATATATAAGATTCTTCTTATATCTCTCCCGGGGTTTCCTCTGCTGTAGGAGGCTGGTAAAAAAACCTAATAAATTAAAATATTATTATCTTATATCTTTTACTATCTTATCTAGATCTATAAATTATTTTTATAAATATAATTTTCTAATTAGATTCTTCTTCTCGTGTAGTTACTGCTTAAATATAATAATATTCTTATCTCTGAAGAATCTATATAATTCAGAGATCTTATTATTTCTAGTATTAATCAGGTATTCATTACTTGCAGTTTCAGTTATCGGAAGGAATCTTATAATAAAATCACTAGAAGATTCCTGCAAGTCTTCCCCTGGTATAGTACTTCAGATATAAGATATTATTCTCCTTATTAGATCTCTTTTATAAAAGAGCAATCAGAACTGTTAAAAAACAAAGTAAGAGATATAATAAGTTCAATTATATATATAAATACTAGTTACTGTACTGCTTTAAACCGATCGCTGGCCTCCCGCAGTGTTGGGGGGGCCAGCGAGGTGCGATATATGAGTAAGTCACATGACCTTGCCAGATCCACGTGATCCGCGACCGTGTGTTACTCACGTGACCCGCCGGGTCGCAGCGAACCGGCGGCTCCGCTCTAACACTATGACTGTATTCTAGATATATTATCCCTGACAAGAGCCTAGATAGTAGATATATTTAATATTAATTACAAGCCTGTCTAACTGAAAGGGCAGGCCTGGCTCAAGATAATATATAAAACAGGTATAGAATATATTTTACTGAACTTATCTAAGCTATTATCTGTTAAATACAGTTCCTTTGAGATCATTCGCCGCGTTGATAAATTAATATAAAAATTATATCTACTATCAGACTGGATTATCTATCCTGTTGTTAGTATCATGCATCTCAAATAAGTACACGAGAATAATTTTAAATATAAGAAGCTGAGTAAGACTTCTGCTCTACTAGTAATAGTTTACAGCCACAAAGAGCACGAAGTAGACTAAATTATATAAATTAAAATAGACAAGATCCTGTTACATTAGAAGAACAGGGATCAGAGCTGGGAATTATTAGACAATATACAAGAGAACATCCCCGAGATACTAAAAGTATATTAAAAGAGCTAGTAATAATACTGAATACTAAGATATAAACAGAATACTAATTAGAAAGGCGAATAATAAAAATCTTAATATTTATTATCTAAATAGTATTTTTCTCTGCGCTCGCTTAATCTCTTACTCTGATCTTTCTACAGCGGACATACTCTGATCTTTCTACAGCAGACATACTCTGATTTTTCTACGGCGGACGAGCGCTTAATTTATTACTTATTTTTATCTCACTTCTGACCTTATTTTCATGTCTGATCTGATATCTAATCTTATCTCTTACATTAACCCATCTTTCTTTCATATTAATCCATCTCTATATATCTCCTCTCCTGTTCTAATCTACTCTTACATCTCCTATTCTTTATCTATTTTTATGTCTCTTATTCTACTACATATTATCTACGTCCGTTTTCTCTTATAACCGCATCTGACATGGTTATGCCAGCCGCTGTAGCGCTGCCCCAGCGTGTAATAACAGTCTCCAATCAGAATATAATAGATCAAGCACTGGAAACTTACTAAAACAATCATCTTTACTATACATCACCATCTATTTAGTACAACAGTATATTGTCTGAATCTGATATACCTATACAGGGCAGTTTACCTGCTCTCACAGTTAATAATTACTGGACAGCTTACCAAGCTGTTTGGCCAATGGATATTTCTCTCAGGGAATAGGCAACGACGCTAATATATAATATACAGTTATACAATACTTGGGTTTACATAATCTTGCATGATGCCACGATTTCATTAATCACATATAAATAACATTAGAAGCGCGACTTCACGGCCCGAGGTAATATTTATTATAACTATATCCCGAAAAACCCGACTGTCTGGATTAAAAATACAGAATAATACTACTATCCTGTCTATAAGGACTTTTATATACTAGATAAAAACACAACTCATATCAATTATAAATAATTACTTAACTACAGAGACAAGCTCGCACAGACATTTATATACAGACCAGTAATTATCAGTACTATAATACAGACTAAACATCCCGTCTCTATTTTCTGTACCCAAACTGACTCCTAGTCCGACCTTGTTATACCTGATATGACAGACACGCGCGCACCAGCCGCCAAACCAATAACTATAAACCCGCCTGCGAATACTCTACCGCCTAACATAGCAACCAGAACCGTTCACATGGCGAATATAACCGCACATAATGTTTATCCAGTACCTGCTGCTCCGGCACCTGCTGCTCCAGTACCTCCTGCTGCTCCAGCACCTCCTACTGCTCTGATACCTCCTGCTGCTCCGGCACCTCCTGCTGCTCCGGCGCCCAGGACAGCCGCAGCACCGTTAGTACTTGACAGTAACTAGTCAGATGCCCTAGTCCGCATAATTGAGCGCTCCAGTCGCCTCCAGTAAGACCTCCGCGACATCACATCATGTATAGGACAACTGTCGCGCGAATATGAGACCTTAGTAAGAGAGATACACCGTCTATGACTGCTCGGCCACCTGGAGGAAGTCTGCATGCACGTTATTACTCAGCACACAAATGATCCGGATAGTGTGGCAGCCGTTCAGCAGGCTATGTATACTGCAATCAACCTACTCAATACTTAAAACAACGCGAGCAATCTTTAAGCAAACATAAACCAAGCAAACAATCCTCAAGCAAACATAAACCAAGCAAACAATCCTCAAGCAAACGCGAACCAGCCAGGCCAACAGCCATAACAGCATCAGGACGTCGCCTTCCCGAAAGAGAGTATTTGCAGCGGGCACACAGTGCCTTCCTCATTCGTCCATTAGTTGCATTACATCTTCTACGAGACCCTAGATAGTTAAAATTGAAGATCATCATCTGCTTTGCCTACATTTGCTCCTCCTACGTCCGATTAGAGATAGATCCTAGACCCGTTCGCTCCAGTACGGAGCAGCTGTTGTCACTGTGCGTGCGTTGCAGCGCAATAAGCTTAAGTGATTGTTTCTTCCAGTTGCACGCAAAGAAAGAAAGCACTGACACTGACGATAAATGGATCCTTGTTTCCAGAAGATCATTGCAGATTAGAATGATAGCGAACGTTCATGGCGGACGTTCCAAATACGTCATCTCTGAATGGAATGCGCCAGGTAAGATCTACTTGTGCTATGATGTCTTCGCTCACGCCCGCCAACAGTGGCTCCGAACATGTTTCCCTTTGGCAAGAACAGTTCCATATTCCATATATCTCGTTGCACGGCAATCTCAGCTGAGTCTTCCGTGAAAGCTCTTCTCGCGTAATGACATAATATCGACCTGTGAACTGACACGCCATACTTGAAAACAGTTGGGCAAACTTCGTTATCAGCAGCCTCACTGAGATGCAATTGATAGGACACAAAAAGTATTTTGACTTGCTGTCACGGAGGAGGAATCTGCTTGAGAATATTCAGTCAACCTACAAACGAAGGACTGCGCAGGGCTGTATCCATGCAACATCTCGGTCTTCGATATTCACACGAAGGCGCGGCTTCCATTACGATGGCCCAGTCAGGCTGAGCATATGGGCTTTTACAAGGATCTGAAAGCTCGTGGTTGAGGAGAACCATGTCTCTAGAGCATGATAATGTGAACTATCGAGAACACGTTCGTCGTGCGCCTCAAGTCTAATGTTTGTCCGGGTCTTCAAAGACTGTACTCCTGCCAGGTTCACATATACATGCGCTGGGATTGCGGAAGAGTGTACTATGTTCTTGAAGTATGCTCTCCCTGCGTCTTCAACCGAATAATTATGAAACAAGGTGGCAATAAACCACGGCATTCTCCAATCTCAAAATCATGCATGATGCTTCCTGCGCCGCGGACGTTGGCACATGCACAGAATAAGGCACCACAGGGGCCACACTGGAATGTCTAGCCAGTCGCAAATCCTAATGGCCATGACCTGTCAATGCCCTTACGCAGCCCCTTCCATAGAATAACACTGAAAAAGATGCAATTTTTATTATGGTAGCTTCCGGCAACATAAGGACCAAGTGAGCGAGCCCAGGAGAAGTATTCCGGCTTTGCACAGCCACTGTTGCTATTCTTCCATGTGGTATATTCAACCCAATGACTCCTATGGCTGCCGGTGACGATATCACTACGCTTATAGTCCCTGGCAGGAACCGAAGCGGCCAAATTAGTTGCCGAGTCAGTATGTCGTCAAAGTCTATATTAAGCCTTTGAATCATAATGATCCGTGGAAAGGAAAATTCTGTGAGTTGGAGAACTATATCATCTATTCTCAATTTCTATTGTTCTGATTGCCGAGTATACCTTCTACAAGTTTAAACATTCTATTCGACACTCATCATCTGAAAGTTTCGACCTACTGATCTACTATACTAGCAAGTATATTGCTTCATACTGCACCCACACAACTATCTATATCATCAGATAATCCACTGGAGACCATACAACCTACTAAATTTCCGCCAGAAACATCTCAGACGCTGAATTCCCTAAAGAGCTTCTTTGTACAGGAAACTCGACTCTCCCTCCACCTACTCAACTAAACATCAGTATCCATCTCAAAAATCTACAAGATGGCTCCTATCCTTTTATACAACAATCTCCACCACCCCTTCAAGTTTTTGGATCGCATCATCCATTTTCGCAAGGGCAAGGATAAGGGCAAAACCAGAGCCCAGCACGATTTATCATCAGCTCTAACACGACTTTTCGCCAACACTGAAGAGGATGAAAATGAAGAATTGTCTATCTCTCACATCACGGATTCTACTTCTCAAATTCTGGTCGAAGACCAAGATCCAGCCCTCAATACCCTCCTCCACACACTCTCCTTTACCACAACTACCAGCACGTCCGACAGCCCTACTCTTCTTCCACTTCTTGCTTCTGCCCTCGACACTCTATCGACCTACACCCAGAACCACAAAGTCAACACTCTTTCAATCTATACCTCCCTCTTGCGTCATCTTGACACCTATATCGGCTATCTCATTTGGGATCATGAGATCCTTCTCACAGATGCAGAGATTATCTTTGCTGCCTCCACGAGCCCAACTTCCGAACACCGACACAACATCATTCTCCAGCTGGAAGCTGCCTATGTCTCAAACTACGAGACATGCAAGACGCTAATAAACCGTCTCAATCAACTAGTTAATATAGAGATGATTGAACATGCAGATTGGCTATTCCCTCGCCAGACTGGCTGGGTAGGGGTAAGGAGAGAAGTTATAAGGCTTGAAAAGTCTCTGAAAGAAATCAGATGGGCTGGCAAGTTGGAAGAAGTTAATTACGTGGATTACTAAATCCTTCATGCCCAACTTCTCTTCCTCTACTGCCCTTCCCGCTATACCTCTACCTTCCAACGGAACCACTCTCTCTTTCTATGCATCTTAAGACCCAACCCTTCCTCCTTTATTTATCTCTTCCTCTATTATCCTTTATATTACTACCGCAGTTGAGCGAGCCATATACTGGCTATCTCAGGGCGGGTGGTGGGAGCCTTCTTATTACCTGTCTCTATCTTCATCTGTCCTTTTCTTTCCTTTTTTTTTTCCATTTCTTTTCTCCTCCTTTCCTTCTTCATTTTGTTACTACCTCAAGTTGGGAGAGCCACATGCTGGCTTTTTCAGGGTGGGTGGTGGGAAATGCTTGTACCTTTCTTTTCTTCTTTCCTTATACTCTCCCGTTTCAAGTTGAATTTGTTCAATTACCTATCCTGTTGCGCGATACCCATGTATTTATTTATATTGACACATCGATTGCCGAGATATCTTAAAACACATATACAGAGTACAGTTCACGCCTGGATAACTACCTCCTTATACCAAAGGCATTTGATAAAAGACGAGTACACAATGTCCCGGTCACTCAACGATATATTCTTCAGCAGCTGCACTAGCAATGATAACAGCCATATTAAGCTGACATGCTACATAGAGAATGAACGTGGTATGATACAAAGAAGAATCATGGGGCTCGGCCAAGCCCTGGGTGTTGTCGTGGTGTATTGAGTGAGCCGGCGTAGCTGAAGACGCTTAAAAATGGTTGATGGTCTCTATTTGTTGAAGGCCCGGGCTTGGCAGCTGTGCACAGATATGAAACAATTGCGTGAGAGGTGTGACTTTAAAAGAACTCCAGAATGGCTCGGGGTTGATCATGGATTTACCGGCACTGGGATTAAGTTAAGGTCCATGCTGCAAAAGAAGGGGGTATGGGGCGACAGAAGAGAATTACGCAAATAATGGATGCTTCAGAGTAGTCCAAGATCATACAGTGCATGCTATTGCTTCTGGTTAAAGGAAGTTACTTCATTCTGGATACATAGATGATAATGAAAACGCTCCTGAAAGGGGAAAGTAGGCATTATACATCAGAAATAGAGAGTGAAAAAAGAAAAAAAAATAAGAAGATAAAAAATGAAAAATAAAAAATAAAAGAAAAAAGAGGGGGGGGGGGGGGAGGGGGAGAATACAGATATAACGACAGAAAAAGAGCGCATCTTGGTGTGTGAACCGATATAAGCAAAGAAAACAGTTTTATCAAGAGTATTGTCTAGACCCTTTCAATGCCATGGTGACATATCTGTTACCATATGGTCCGCGGTGCCTACCTCCACCCACTCTTTGTCCGTTCGAATGCTCAACTTCCACCTCATACGCTCACGGACATCTTTGTAAACCGTCCACGATGCCAAGCAGTCATACCAAAAGATTTTCTCGGCACCTGGGGGGTAATACACGCCGCGACGGGCTTCACCGGGAGGATTGAGCTTGAGCTCACCTATTACCTGGACGCCTAAATGGCATTAGTTCGAAGATCCATGTATCTGGGGCCAGAGAGGTGCGACTGACGGTTCGGCATTTGCGTGAAACGACGGATAAGGACTGATTGTACACTTTGCCCAGCCTCCACAGCGAGCCACAAGTGCACTCCTCCCTCATTACTTAATGCGCGGCCCTGCAAGAAGAGAGACAATCAGAAAGAGCAGACCCTGACATGGGATCAGAACCGATGCGTACCGAGTCAATCACACGAAAAGCATGTTTCCTTGGGGGTTCAAGCCCTGTTGCAAGCATTTCGATGACGGGTGCAGCCGATTCGTAACCCCAGATGCTCTGGTACTGCACGTATTCAGAGACTGTACTGCCACGGAGCGTCAACCCGTAGGATACGGCAGTGACACTGCCATGAATAGGTTAGCACCGCAAAATCCGACAAAGAGGAAGAAACCTACGCATCGTTGCCCTGTAGATGGCGCAGAGACGGTCGTTCGTCCTCGTCAATATCCTGCAGGCGGCGTTTGATTTCGTTCCTCAGGTAGACTGACTGACTGAAACCACCCACGAGGACGACGTTGGTCACATTCCACACAGATATGTGGCGCAAAATGGCTTTCAGGATTGGTCTCACAATAGGATCGAATGCTTTGACGAGTGAAGCCCTGGTGAGAGTGAAATGATTGGTTTGCTCGTCAAATTGCTCTGATGGATTGTACTTCCATCTGGTCTTGTACTGCTGGGGAAATGGGAGGTAAACAATCATATCCTCGTTGCCAGAGAAGCCATGCTTGGCGTCAATGGCTGGCTTCCAAGCCATGGAAGCCACCTGGCCCTTTGCGCATGGCAGACCAAGTTCCTTGCGGATGTGACCCATGAGCGATGTCTCTACCAAATGACTGCCGTGCTTCATCGTACTTTGCTCACTTAGCGGATGAAAGAGTAAGTGGTGCGCCTCGTTTGCCGTTGCGGATACGCGAAATGCAGTATAATCCTGATCTTGGTCAGTTCAGGTCATTGATAGTTAAAGTCTCACCGAGAGAAAGGGCTAAAGAGAGGGAGGGTTGGTTGATAAAAGACAATGATGCACTTACGCAGGTCACACCACCTATATCACATACCAACACACGGTCTCCAACCTGGCACAAGGAAGATCAGCCAGTAATCCGGTGGCCATTTATGCGGTCTGATGCTACTGCTTACCTGAGCAAGGCCTTCCTCCTCAAGTTGGTTAGCCACCCCGTATAGCGGCTGCTTTCGCTTCTGAAGTATAAGAAACCTGGTCGTCGCCATTCTCGAAACCAGCCTCCCGAATCGCACTTTGCATCATTATCTCGCCCTCTACCGTCCAGCAGTCAGGCATTGCAAAGTACCAGTCAATGGGGGGGAGTCGGTCGAGCCCAATTTCTTGAGTGACAGTTATATCGGCGATGAATGCCTTACGCAGGGCTTCCAGAAAGTCCTTAATAGCATCCTGAGGTTGAATGGAGTTTCTACCGATTCCGGGCACCTTGGCATTTCCAAATATGTCCAAGTCCATTGACTCCGCTGAAGGGACCCCAGCAACCTGTAACTTTAGCAGGACCAGATGGCTATCTTGTCGACCTACTTCGTAACCCCACGCACGCAGATGATTGGTACCAGGATAATAAGAGACCCAAGTCGGGATGATTGAGTCGCGGCCATTTGGACGCCACTCCTTGATACTCCGGTTGTTCCCGTAATGATATGTCACGACTAAGAAGAGCCTTCAGTCCAGCACCGGGGTGGATAAGGCCAGCGCACGGCGGCAGAGTAAAGGAACAAAGAGGGGAAATAACTTTCCAATCACTCACCGCACTTCGTCACGCCAAAATCAACTCCTGCAACAAGGCGTCGCTGATCAGCCATTGTGCGCAAGGAATCACAAGTTCAGAAACAGTAGGGACAAAGATGATAGACTGCATGGAGAAATAAAGGAGGAAAGAACTAGGGCAAGATTGGAAGTGGTATTTGCTATGATCTGACATGGATTGTCTGGAGCCAGTAACTGCAAGAAGTAGGCTCTGCCCTTTTTATAACCTTGGTCTCTTCAAGTTCTCCTATGCCAGCAGACTACCTATTATTTACTATAAGCCCGATCTAGATCGTCTACCGTGTCTCTGAATCTCTCTCTTTTGCCCGCCCCGCCCCTCGGTCTCCTCTGTGTGGTCGTGTGTGTGTGCACTTGTCTCGGTGCGTAGAACTCTACCTCGTGTCCTGTGACCCACAAGCTTCCTGGAGGAGTACTCCCCGTACAGAGAAGGTTTTTCAGGCATGACTAGGAGAATGATGAAAGCACAGAATAGATAAAATGCCAAAAAACTTGAAAAATAAATGGAAAACCAAAAAGGGAAATACAGTGATATTAAAATCACGAGTGGTTGATGATCATGACGACTCAAAAGATAATAAGACAATATGTTGCCGAAAGGAGATGTAAGAGGTAACACGAGAAAAGGAAAACGCCAGACCAAAAAAAAGGGGGGGGGGAGGGGGGGCAAATAAAAAGAAGGTAAAATTGAAATAACTGGCCTCACAGAGAGCACAGAAGTGGGTAAGAAATTGAAGAAAGAAATAATATCCCAATAAAGAATGCTCAAAATACGAAACCTTAACTGGGCGGAAGGCAGGCGTTCCTGATCTGTCTTTTGACCTCTCTCTGCTTCAATCCTCTTTCCCTATCACTTTTTCTGTTACGTGCAAGTCAAGCCAATATTCTCCCCTACTTACCCCTACAACTTGATTTCCTGTCTCATCATTGTTCTCCTTCACCGGTCATCTGCCTAGCAAACATGGGCAGGACGAAACAGGCCCGACAGCCTCAGCGAAAGAGTGAAGAGCGAAAGCCCTTTCAGGATGACAAGTCTGAAACCCAAAATCGTGTCTACGGCCCCGGTAACTACTTCTTATCACGGGAAGAATACTACGATGTGCTGGCACAATGCAATTTGATGGAGGAGAATGCATGCTCCCAGCGATGCATCCTTGATCTCGTCAGTGCACGGTTCAACCATCTGGACTGCACTATTCGCACATGGACTCACGCATGGACACGTTGTGAATCGATGTCGCACCTTCAATCAGACGAAAAGCAGAACATCATCAATAGTCTTGATGGCTACTGTGTCCAGGAAGACTGGGACAGTATCCACCCTCTCCTTCCACCCGGAACCCGCGCGAATATGGGCCCGGTCTTAGGCGCTACAATGCTTTACCAATTCATCTTCTCTAAACTCATCGACTCTCCTTTCTGGTTTTTAGATGGAAAGATAAGCCCCACAGATGTTGATGGTGACCCGCAGTTTCACCTTCGTCTTCAATATTTGTACGAGAGAATCCGGGAAGCTTCTGTCTACAAGGCAGCCTGGTGGAAATCAGTCACTATCGGCGAGTGCAATGCCCGCAGCGCCTTCGATAACAATCCTGCCAATACAGGGCTGGCACAGGGTACCGCGGTTCAACGTAAAGCAACGGTGGAATCATTGACCGATGAGCTGCTTGGATGCCGGGTTTTTCAACTTCTTCTTCGTCCATTGGAGTATAAGGAGGATGTATCTCTTCGTCATGAACAGCTTCACCGAATTCTCCACGACGCTGTTAATACGATTCTCTACACTGAGGGAGGGATGTTCGGCAATACTACAATAGAACGGCTTCCGGATCTTCCTGTCTTCGTCCACGAGTCAGACAGAATGACATCCCATATGCATCACTTCACCAGCCCTCAGAATACTCCGAGTTTTGCGGCTTTAGATGGGGGTCGGACCCTGATAGTTACTCGCCCGGGCCTCGTTTACTCACAGATGCAAGCTCTGGGTCACGGTCGTATCTTCCCTCCTGAGCGAGTGGTCAAGGCGGAGGTGTTAGCGGAAGTGAAAAGGCCAACGAAGGAGAGGGTGTACCGGAAAGGGTCAACATCCGGTGTTGCGAAACCGACAAAAGGGAGAAGGGCCCAAAGAGCAAAGAAGCTCAGCGCCAGTCCCAGTGCAGCTGATGCCAAAGATGACACCGGGGAACACGGAGAAGACAGGGAGGAAAGCGTACCTCTCGGGAAGCAGATTCCGCCGCGGAGGAAGACATTCTGGCGTCAGTGAGCAATATATGCCTTTAGTTTCTCTATCAATTGTTCGGTAATTGCTGTTTTATTTTTATTTTTATTGATTTTTATTTATTTTTATTGGTTTTTTTTTTTTCCGTTTTGCTTCTCATGTATCCGTTGCAGGAGAGTTTTTTGAGATGTGATAAGCTTGCAGGTAATGGATCGTTGGATATAATTTCATGCTACTGTCTCGAAATATATCGCTCATTTACTTCATCGTATACTGTGGTTTAGATCAAGTCGAGCTCTAGAACTCTAAAGCATCATATGTGGATACAGGTATGTAGAACTACCATTGTTATGCTTCCTGTCGTTCCCTATGATGAGCACTGCTAAACCCCCCGTGAACGTCATGGGGTTAACCCGAGCGTTTCGCTTAGATGTCGCGACGAACAGTTAGGTGTGGGTCTTGCGAGGACTGATTGTTTGTTTGATAATAATAATTATCATTAAAAGGTGTTTATTGCCGAGAAAAACTTTCCAACTGGACGATGCCTATCATACCATTGACTAACACAGTCCTATCAGAAAACCAGCATTCCATCTTCATGCTTGTAAAACCTTCTTTTCTCCTTCTGCTCTCTCTTTCCTGACTGGAATTCTATATCCGCTTTATTGCAGTAATACCATAGTTATTTAGCTAGTATCGGATGACTAAACCGACATAAGTTACGAATAACTAACTAACTACCACTAATCGCTCGTCAGCACGAGAAGTATTGCCCGACTCAGATAGGGCTGTTACTTTACAGGCACCCGGACCCACTGAATACTCATATCGGAGAATTTTCGTCTTCAATAAACCGAAGTATTCCTATAACCTTACCAGATCTGAGAAACATTGTTGCTGTCTTTTGATCGAATGAAATACTCTATCTTCTAGGAATTAATAAGCGGGAAACCGGGCGAGTGCCTCTCCGGTGCCTATGACGTGTTGACCCGGTTTCAGATTTGCCGTCTATCCATCCATTCATCCATCAATCCAGAATCTATACTAGGAGTGACGCTAGCGACGGGAAATATGCCCATATGAGCCGTCGGAAAGGCTAAGGGAAAAACCAGCGGGCTTTTCTCAAGCACAGTTGTGGAAATGTACAAACCGACCGTGTCAGGAGGGAATGAGCGAGATAGAAAGAGAGAGAGAGATATATATATAGATAGACTCCAGGCTTCAGACTAATGAATGCTCCTTCTCCCAGGAAGGGGGCATTAAGATGAAATAAGGTGGCTGACGCCCCCGTCTGATGCTCCGTCTCCAGATGCTGAAGGAGAATATGCTTTTACTCTCTGAGTTGGGGTCATTTGAATCAGGGGATTGTAATCGTCAGATTTGCAACAGCTGCACCTCCCGAGCAGGGTTGATAAAAACAAAACAAAACAAAAGTCAACACCTATTCGCATGGCGTGCTTATACGGACAGATTTGGAAGCATTCCAGGTTCAAACACGGCAGAAATATCAACAGGAATCGTAATAGCGGTGATCAGGAGAAATGACAGCTGCCATGGATCGACGGCATGGCGGACACCATGGTTGCTGATCTATAAGATTCTATGCATTTACCTCCTCCAGAGTATCCATACCCAGCTCTTACATCGTTCAATACTTCTGAGACCTATACGAGGAGCGTGGAAACCTTCTCCTTCTGCTCAAGTCTGCTCACCGTTTTCCCTATTCGGTCCCGTTCATCTGGAGGCCTAGGGCTTCTTCCAAACATTGCTGGATGACGAAGAACCATTCGATCTATCACACGGAAGCCCAGGCCAGCCAACACGAAGTAGCACAAACTCCTGTCAAACCTTGTCGGGACGGGAAGCTGCTTGGTCATGATGCTACAGTCCGGTGAAACCCGCGATACCAATGAATGAGTGTGGCGTCTGCCTCATACACTTCCCAAGGCCCCCAGAGATAAACATGCCTTTTGGCCTGTATTTTGAGGGCACCCCCCAAGTAAGCCAGTAACATCGCTATAACTCTTCTTTTGCTACCGTTTCCCGGACGTTAATGAGCCCGAAATCGTGGCGTCCCTCCCGTACTCGCCTTCCCAGTTCAAAGAAAGTCTAGCGGACCAACAATTTCCCATGCAGAAGTGAGACTGTAAACCAGGCACAACCAAGTAACCAGATACTCCGTAATGTTTGCTTTCTGGAAACAAGCCTGTATTGTTTGTCGCAGCTCGATCTAGAGTGGCATATCCGGCCATCAAGCCTGCCATGTTCTATTGACCCCGACAGTGTGCAAGCTAGACGGTGAATTAAACAGAAAAGTCGACTTTGAAGAGTAAGATCTAGGGATGGGAAGTGATCAGAGGTCTGGTCTCATTCAGTGTATGTCTGCTTACACTCACCCAGCCACCCTATCTTCCGTGCCCAGCGCCCACAACTTCACAATCATGAGCTTTTTGCCCTTTTGTCTCTGCATTTAGCCATAATGACTCCATCAGTTCAGGCTCTTCAGGATAGACTATGTCAGGCCGTCATCCATAGTCTGTTGCACCCCCTTGGCTTTCCCTTCCCCGCCGTTGCTGCCTGCGTGACGGTGGCATCAACAGCTTTACCAGGTTGAGTACATCCTTCCAGTACTCATATCAATTTGGTCTCACAACTATCGAAGAACCAAGGGGGAAATCAACATCACAATACGCCCCTTCGCAACCGCTACTTTACCAGAGTTTCCTCAGCAATTCCCACCTACCGGAACCGACGTTATCTCTAGACAGCTACACTTGTCGCATGCCACATCGATCTCGTCATGTCGGCCACGCCTTCCCTCCCCCATCTTATAGATGAACCATGTATCCATCCATGGGTTAGCCACGTGGATTCAGCCTCTCACCTCGATTTTTGACCTTTACAGTACCATCTTCCTTCTCCTGCATGTCTGCCAGGAGCAGACGGCTTACAGCACTTTTTTTCCTGAAAATTCTCTGGTTTGATCACATCATCTGATGACTCACCCTCATAGAACGTCAGTCGTGCCTTAAAATCCATCCTATCGACTCTGATGAATGAGATACCCCGGGGAGGTGGAAAAGCCAGCCACGTTCATGGTTGAATGTCATGGGACTTTGGAAGGGCAACGCCGCAGATTCTGTTCGTGAGGGCTGGTCATTCCGCTGGTTTCGAGCTTGAAAGGGGCTCGGAAAGTCTCTGTACATATGTAGACATATAGGCGATTAGATGAGGATTACTGCTGAAGTACCTTTGTGTTTGCATCTGGTTGGCTGGTCGTCCGGGAGATTGTCGCTGGTTCTAGTCGATGGCGCGGCAGACTTATCAAACTGTTTCATCATTTACCACTTCGAATAATAGTAGTAAGCAACGTCAGATAGAAACTGAGCTTAGTTGGTTGCCTGGACAACTTTTTACCTGGTATTGTATCTTGATGACATATATTTAGTGCAGCGAAGTGCATTCTGGTATCTTCTGTATCTGACGGCGGGCCGAGGCCTCATTCTTCCTTCGGAGTAGATGCGCCCTCCTGCAATGTCTGAGGTAGGTGCCGACGAGCCGCACCGGGGAGGAAAAGGTTCCCCTATTTGATCGTGCGCCCGGAAAGGTGGCAGCGTGGTAGTGCATCAGGTGCAGCCCGAAAACTTATGTGACCATCCTAACTACTTCGTACTGTGCCCAAAGGCCGCCTTGCGCCATGTGTGATCTCTTGGTGAGTAGTAGACATTCGTTTCACAAATTGTATGATGGAGAAGCTTAATGAAGCTTCCTCTATATGCTGATCAGGCGTTACGGCTATAAACATAGAAGAAAGCTAGCTACGTAGGTTCCTCATGAGCTGGGCTGACAAGAAGCGTCGACCGGGACCACAGGTCTATCGTAATCCATTCACTCCATCTTGGAACTGATGCAAGTCATATTCCTCAGGATATGTCTCCAGTATTCTCTTCAGCTCCTTCATCTGAGCCTCCGCCTCCTCCGTCAATTCGTCGTAGACCCCCTCAAATGCTTCCCTCAACGGAGGCTTCTTCTCCCGCTCTGCCTCTCCAAACTCTCTGAGCACCTCCTTCCGAATCTTATCACGCGTTTCACGTTCTAAATCCTCGCTCCAGTGACCCTCATTTTCCAACCACTTCCGCAACCGGATAATCGGGTTATCGCGACGTTTCCAGTCCTCGACTTCTACCCTTGCCCGATACGCAAAGCTATCATCACTGGTGCTGTGATGCGAGACACGGTAGCTCATTGCTTCGATGAGGACAGGTTTACCTCCATCTTGAAGGGCGAGACGACGAGCTTCACGCATTGCCTCGTAGACCGCGAATATGTCGTTACCGTCCACCCGAATGGTGTCAATGCCGTAGCCAACACCACGGCTGGCGATACCATCACCCCTGTATTGTTCTAGTGTAGGGGTAGAAATCGCATATCCATTGTTGCGGCAGATGAATACCACGGGACAGGACCGCGTCGCGGCTATATTCAAGCCGGCGTGGAAGTCGCCTTCGCTAGCGGCTCCTTCGCCGAAATAGCAGGCTACAATTCGCGCCGGGGTATCGGGGTTCTGTAGTGATTGTAACTTTAGAGCGTAGGCAGCTCCGGAGGCTTGAGGAATTTGGGTTGCAAGGGGGGAGGAGATTGTGTGCTGGATATATGGTTAGAAGGCGGTTTGGCGGATCGTGTGGAGGGGACGAACTGTACGGGGATAATTGCAGCCGTAATGTACGGGCATGTTACGGCCTTTACTGTTGTCGAATCTATTCGCAAACAGTTGGCTCATGAAGTCTTTCAGAGTGAAGCCGCGTTGTTGGAAGACGCCTGCTTCGCGGTACTGGGCGAATACTACGTCGTCGGGGGTTAAGGCTGCGGCGGATCCGACGCTGATTCCTTCTTCACCGGCAGATACCTAACGATGTCAGATATTAATATTATTGAGGAGGTGGTGATGGTTCCGAGCATACCATATAGAAGCTCAGTCGACCCTGCCGTTGCGCTTCGAACATGATGACGTCCATGACACTTACTAGATGCCGTCAGATCATGAAGTAGGTAGCATGATAATATGAGATATCCCCAACCTGTCAACATGTTCTTGTACCATGTCAAAATTTCCTCCTTTGGCACATCGATGGACTTGCGCGACTTGTCGACGAGTACTCCGTCGGAGTCCATGACTCGGTACGTAGGGATATTGGACATTTCGGTGGGATTGATGAAGGTCATGTCGGTGGTAAATTTACTATTGATCGCGCCTGGAAATCGGACACTACTATTATCAGCTGTGCTCCATGCTCCCTATGACCGCTCGGTTTATGTGAGTGACCTTACCGATCCGATCCAGGGCGCTGAGATATAGAATTGCTCCATCGCCGTGGAATCTTGGACAGCGGTTGGGATGAGCGCCAAAAGCGCGTTGGCCGCAAAGACTGCATGTTGGAGGTAGTTGCTGGAAAAAAAGGGCCAGCCCTGGGTTTTGGGGATATGTGATGGCCTCTCCTCATGATAGAAGGGCGTTTATTTCTTAACTCGAGGGATGCTGGGAATGCGGAGGCCGGTTGGCGTCGGTCCTTAGAGCGGGTGAATTCCCCACCCGCCGATATCCGAGCCGGGGTAGAAGAGCTTTGGGCTGTGTCCAGCAACTGCGATAAGCGACTTGACAACTCTAAGATAGTGTGTAGATAAGGAACGTTACTTCTCTTCTTTTTTGCTAAACAACCTTAATCGGCCTGGTATTTATTCCACCTGGAACAAGGCATAGTATCACCAAAACCTATTTGAAGACTTGGATTGGGTAGTACTGGATCCCGTTTTAACTTATTCTCTTCGATTTTCTTGATTTGTAAAATCGTCTATTTATCCATATTCTAGATTACTAAGTCGATTTTTATGTTGAATCACTCGTCATACCCTTAACTAGGTATAGCTCGGTCCGCACGTGCCATGTTCAATGGCGGAAGAACCAGCGGCCCGAAGTACTTGGAAATGCGGAGTAACATCACGTGCTATGATGCCAGGCATCGGTTATCATCGGGCGCCGGTGTACCTGGATAACAACCGGGCATTACTTACATACTCCCCTCCCATCATCCATCCTGCAGCCGGAATGCTACATCTAAGTCCCTCCCTCCGTGTAATCTCCCTCTTCTATCTGTTGAAGCCGACACCGGGTTAACTATGAATATTTTGCGCTCAACTGGGAGCTTGTCCCGGGCTTTCCAGCTATGCCCCGGCCAAGGTCCCTGCCAGTGATCCGGTGCCAGGCACGACCTCTTCCTCGTCGAGGATTCCACGCCGCCGCCGCTCTGTGGGGTGTGAAGTCTCAGGTACTGAAGGATGTTGGCGAAGGTAAGATAATTTTGCCCAAATGACCGTCTTTCCACAATCTTTTGGTCATGATACATATATATACCCTTCCTTGTCAATTGTTTACATTACATTTCCCACAGGGATAACGGAGGTCCAAATAATTCAGTGGTATGTCGAGGAGGGCGCATACATTGAAGAGTGGAAACCACTCTGTCAATACCAGTCGGATAAAGCCGTTGATGATGTTAGTTCATGCGTTCTTAGAGACACGCTCTGGAAATTCAGCTAATGGCCATAGATCACCTCGAGATACGAAGGCGTCGTCAAAAAGCTCCATTTCCAAGCAGACGATACGGTACCGACAGGAAAGGTAATAACAACTGCAGTACACCGTAGCATGAGCTGTTCTTGCTAATCGTTCTCTTTCCTATAGGCGCTCTGCGATATAGAAGTTGAGAACGGGAAATATCCGGATGATAACCCGCCGCCTGTTCCAAAGACAGAACCGATAGAACCAGCACCGGCCAGGTCTCCTCCTCTAGAAGCTCCGTCACCACAGCCTACACAAGCTACTACACCTGCACCAGTAAACGGCTTCACAAATAACAAGCCGAGATCACCTCATGCGACATTGGCTACCCCAGCGGTCCGTGGCATGCTGAAGATCCACAATGTGAACATTGAAGATGTACAAGGGACAGGCAAGGATGGGCGCGTCCTCAAGGAAGATGTGCAGCGCTTCATCGCCGAGCGAGACCAAGCACCTTCAACACAGCCCACTGCTCCGGGGATGCAAGAAGAGACCGCGGTCAAATTAACACCAATTCAGAGTCAGATGTTTAAGAACATGACAAACTCCCTCAGCATCCCGCAATTCCTCTACGCTGACGAACTCAACGTTAATAACGTCATGGCTATTAGAAAGAAGCTAGCTAACGACCCTAAAGACCCTCAAAAGATCAGCCTCCTCTCCTTCGTCATCAAAGCCATGTCCCTGGCTTTGAACGACTACCCGCTTCTCAACGCAAAGATCGATACAACCGATCCGGCCAAACCACAATTGATCATGCGGGCAAAACACAACATCGGCGTCGCCATGGACACCCCTCAAGGCTTGTTAGTCCCCAATATCAAAGACGTCGCCGATCGCTCCATCCTAGATATTGCCGCGGAAATCCTACGGTTGAACGCACTCGCGAAAGAAAGAAAGCTCACACCCGCCGACCTCAGCGGTGGCACAATCACTGCCTCTAATATCGGAAACATTGGAGGTACATACGTCGCACCGGTAGTCATACCGAACGAGATGGCCATCCTCGGCATTGGCAAATCCAGAACAGTACCCATCTTTGATGACGCTGGTCAGGTTACAAAAGGCGAGCTCGTAAATTTCAGCTGGAGCGCCGACCATCGCGTGGTGGACGGTGCCACGATGGCCCGGATGGCTAATCGCGTCCGGGAACTCGTCGAGTCACCGGAGCAGATGCTGTTGAACTTGCGATAGCTTATACATAGAGTTAACCCCCTGTCTGATACCTGCATCTGCGGTAGTGATTAGCGCCGGCTCAATGCCACATAGCATAGATGACTGCAAATGAAAACATGTATTTTCGCCCTGCTCGGCTTTGAGCAAGCTGGGTTGTCAGCCATTGATGTCCATACCATACATCCCACGCTTTACATCGTAAAACATAAAAAGCACTCAAATGGCACCAAGGCCATGGTCAAACAACAACGTGATCGAATCTTTGATCGCATCACTAATCCTCGAGTAGCAAGTCGGTGAACTCTCATCTACGTATTAGTGCCAAATTGAGCGAAAATCAAGTTTAAACGCTTCTATAGTCATTTTGGAACAGACCAGCCTGGCCGAACCGACTAAGACGCCCTGCTGCAGCATTTCAAAGGATAATATAGCAGATCAGTTAATTTTGATTTGCTTTGTTAATCTATTCTTCACCCCGCGTCGGCAGATAGCACGCCACGTCGTAGGGCTCTGGAGGTTTCCTCCTGGCTTTTCAGCCAATATAACTCTATATACAACAAACGAGGCCACGGCATCGCAGTCTTTCACTGTTTACAGCATGACGCAGTTCCACAATCACTTCATTGCGACATTACAGCATCAAGTGTTGATGAGCTTGATCTGGTGCTGCTGGCTAGTATGTTCGGTAATCTGATGACTGGAAGGGTTGCTGGCACCAGCCATACTTGTTGTAAAGTATGGTATGACGAACAGGGGGTGCTTCCGAGTGTCGAGTTGATGCATGTCAGTGATGCTATGCTGTCAGAGACGCAGAAGCCAAACAATCTTCAAAAGATGCCATCTATCCACAATGTACCATCGTCTCACGTATCGTTTCTCATCACAGCTTCAAAGGGTCAATAGCAAAAGTGGGCAGATTTATGTACTCATAACGAGAAATACTGAGACCATTCTAGCATGCGCTGATGCAGATGCCTGAACCAGAAACCCTGGTATCACATCCTAAGCCAAGCATCACAAATGCGAAAAGAGGATCAAAGAAGAAAGGAAAAAGAAGTATGAATACAAGAAACCGAAAATAATCGAGCATGGCGGTCGTGAAACAGCAGAAAGCGTTCAGGGTAGGTAGCAACAAATCATTGCATGCTATCTACGAAAGCTTTCAGACGGGAGCTGTCCTTGGTCGCGATGAAGTAGGTACCGCCGACGTCGGTCCAGCTCACACTGTTCGACCAGTAGTTCCTCTGCTTGACCTTCAATAGGTTGATGGGCGAATTGAGATTGCGAGATTGAATTTTGTGTCCCGCGGGCACAAAGGACTTAAGGGATACGATTTGACACCCCTCCTTCATATCCAAGAAGTGGTTAATTAGCTCGTTATTCAATTGCGGGGTGAACGCCTGATTATTGATCAAGATAACATCAGCGCGTTTCAGAACGTCGATAATGCTCTGCTCCTTTAGGAAATCACCCTTAACGAGGTGCGTCTTCCCGGGCGCGATGCCCCATAGCCGACATCGCGACCTAAACTCGGCCTGCTGCAGCTCCGCCAGGTGGGCTGCATTGTTCATCATTTCACAGCCCCAACTCTCACACCCAATCTCAAGCGCCGCCTGGAGGACAACGTTACCGACACCTGAGCCCAGGTCGACGAAAACCTGACCGGACTTTAGCCCAGTCTCCTTGAATATCGTGCTGATGAAGCGCGGAAGAAGTTCTCCGTACACGTTGTCCGTTCCGTTCTCGTACTGGCGAAGAGACTCGACCCGAGGCGAGACGGTGCGCGAGTAAATCTGATTCAGGATCCTTTCCACGTGGGGTAAGTTTAAGCGGCTCGTTGAATCCAGTTTCTTCGCGATGCTGCCATCACGTCTTAACCGCACAATCGCACTATTGTACTCCGCCACGACACTCCGAAAATCCGCTTCTGATGAATGGGCAAGGGCGCGTCGTAGTCGGCGTTTTATTCCAGTCGATTCATTGTTGAATTCGTCTGCCTCTTCGTCGGGGATATAATTCTGTGACACGATGTCGAGGACTTGAACGATATCATCAATGGGCTTGAAATCGTCGTGGTCTCGAGGGACCACAAGGTCGTATCTCTCTGGGGAGGAAGTACTGGGATACTGCAGGAGTAGCTCCGGTAGCGGCTTGGCTGCCCCAAACGCAGGCTTAAAGTTGCTGGACTTCTGGCGCGAGGTAATGTCGGCAGCATGTATCATGGGAAGTGACCGAATGCTATCTTCGGAAAAAGCCTTTAAAGATCGTACGCGCCTAGCCGGGTCTGGCTCTGCGCTGTCGCCTGTCCTAGCCCGTTTGCGCACCTCAAACGAAGAGTCCGTGTCGCTCGCGTCGTCATCGCTCGAAAGTCGTAACTCCGGAGTTTGGCGCTTCCGACTCTGCGCTGGTGTGCCATATCGCCTTTTCGCAGAGGGAGGGTCACGGTCCCTGGAGACGGATCTGCTTGCTGATTGTTGCGCTTTGAGCTGAGCAGGAGGGGTTCGCGAGGAGGAGGGAGCTGGGGTCTGGGAGGTGGATCGCGAGGCAGGGGCGGTTCGCGTCTGAACAACCTTTCGGATCTGAGGCTTCTTCGGTTGTAAAGAAAAGGCGCCTCCTTTCTGGAGGTGGTCGAAAAATCCCATAAGGCAAGATGGGAACGGGAGAATCGTAACTATAGGGGAGCGGGCGGTGAAGGTAAGGACAGGGATGCGCTGGAAAGATATACACAAGAACGGAAAATATAATATATACGGCGAGTAGGATATGTACGACAAGACAACAAAAGGCAAGGGGAATAAGTTAGCAGGGTCTAATGAAAAGAGAGATTCATGCAAGATGCACGCCCGAACCGCAGTGGCACCCACGAAGCGGGAGGCGGAGAAAGTCACTGTCCGATTCCTCCGAGTCACCTGACCCGCCGGTATGTTTACCATCGATTCAAACGTTACTACACAGTACGTACAGTAACTATAAATTATCGGTTTTACAGTTATGCAAACACGCCAAACAGTGCAAACAAGCTCATGATATCGGGAATCGCAATTTAATCCATTATCACCATAATCACCAGTCGAACTCAATACCCATACAATTCAATCCAGCAATTGCGCTTCACCACCTCCCTCAAACACCACACAATCATATACCCACCACTGTCTCTCTCCAATACCGTCTGCGACTCAGCCATTCTCCGTTCACCCTCTCCACGCCCCTCCAAACACCTAGACACCATTCGCCCACCTCCGACTGAACCCCGAGGCCATCAATCGCATCACAACAACTTCCAATTGATTAACATCCAGACCCCTCAAAATGTCCCCACCACACGCACAACCCCCTCGGGCTCCCCCACCGGCCCAAACATCCCGATTCCGAGTCCTACCCCCCGATCTAGCCAAAGCGCGCCGCACCACCCCTCAACCGCAACAGCCACCGCAACAACACCAACGGCCCCGATCCCACCCCCGACCTTCTTTCTTCAGCCACCTCCGCAATAGCTACGCCTCTCTCCCTCGTCCCTTCCGCTTCATGGGCACCCTTCTCCCCCTCATCCCCATCGGCCTCTTCTTCTCCGAGCACGTATGCCAAGTGATGTGGGTACGCGGACCCAGCATGACGCCGTACCTGAATGAAGACTACGACCAAATGCAGACGAAGAGCGATATAGTTCTTGTGAACATGTGGGGTGGGGGTGGATTGTGGCCGTGGGAACGGAAGAGGAGGTTGGAGAGGGGGATGGTGGTTACGTTTCGGTTTGTTTATCCCTGCCCGTGGTGGGTTTCTGTAGTGGTAGTCTTCGCTTTTACTAATGGTACATGTGTGGTAGATCTCCTGCAAACCCCCGTCACATGGCCATAAAGCGCATTATCGGATTACCCGGGGATCAGATCACCACAAGAGAGCCCTGTCTGAAGGAGTCGCAGATTGTGCCGTATAATCATGTATGGTTGGAGGGTGATGCGAAGGATCCGAGGAAGACGCTGGATAGTAATTCGTATGGGCCGGTGAGTATCAGTTTAATTACGGGGAGGGTGATGGCCGTGCTGCATCCACAGTGGAGGTGGTTGGATTGGTCGGGTTGGGAGAATGGGGTGGTGGAAGGTGATGTGGAGCGCAAGTTTGGGGAGGATTATAGACAGGAGGTGCGCGATCGGGTGGTGAAAGAGGCTGTGAAGTTGGAGAGGCCGTTTTTGGAGTGAATGTTATGTGTTATGTGAGGTATTAGTAGTATTTGTCGGTATGCGCTGTACATAGACGGTTGATTTATTTGCTCTGTACATTTACTATTACTATAGAGAAGCATCATGAAGCGGTAGATCTGCCTGCAGAAATTTTATACTATATATTATACTATTTAACATCCCGTGTTACGTGATTATCCGTATATCCTCCGGTTGATCCTCCTGTAAGCGATTGATCTCAGATGCTATACTCAGCACCCAGCGGTCTTTCTCGACGCGACTGCGGGCTTTGAACACAATGGTTCGCCCGTGGACTCCGAGAGTCGACACTTGCTTAATCTTTTGCTTCGTCTGGCCTTTCACTCCATGCTCGCGCGCCCGGAACAGGTTCTTCTTCAGTGGCTGCCAGATGACGAACGTGATCGCCGCATCTTCATCGCTACTTGTGTAGGCATCCGATGAGAGATACACGCGGGGCAGGGCATGATGGCCTGGATGGTTACTGTCGAATGTTTGATTGGTGTATAGAAGGTCTGAGTCTGTCATCAGACCAGAGTATATATAACAGTCTTGGAGATCGATGGCGGTCTCCAAGTTTTGGTGTATATGGGGGACTTCAACGCCGTTGCGCTTTCGGAGGGAGCTGCGGAAGATCAATAGTTTTCCGGCAGTTAGAACAACGTGAGTTTTCTTGAAGGTTGAGTGGCGGCGGGGTTTTCGATATAGATGACCAGATATCTAGGACGTTATGTTAGTCCTGTCGGAGCATAATGGAGCAGCATATTATATACCTTGATTGGGCGACAGTCTGACAGGACGCAGATATTGTGCAGAAGAGGCGACGCTTCCGCCTTCTTGACTTCCCATTTTCTAGCGAACTGGCCCATGATGGATTCCAACTCCTCATCGATCCCCAGAAGTTTGAGGTTGCGTTGCCGGAGAGCCTTAAGTTCAGCTGCATCGGTGGCGATTCTGCACTTCCAGTATTTCACTAAAGCTTCGAGCCGCCTCATCCATTCGTCCTTGGTCACATCATTGTATGCCTGAAAGCGGACCACGAGGTTGTTGTCCAGAAGCATCTCAAAGGTCCTATCGTCATTGAATTGCTGCGTTGCACCGTCATCTCGGCGCGTGTCTCTTGCTTCGGGATTAAATGCTACGTCTGGCCCTGATTCAATGTTCCGATCGGCGGGGCAGCTATCGCGTTGCACATGTCGGACCTCTTGTACCCTGGTGAGATCGATGAATCCATCAGCATGCTCAATATTGTGAATGCTTCGCTGCCGCTGGACGTAGGCTTCTTCGTCATGAGTCCTGATGTGGTCCTTGTTGCCACTTCGCAGCCAAGAGATATCCCCGTCTTGAAGCGGATACGGATCGACATCGTAAGAAATAGGTGATGCATCCAGAATCTGTTGCGTTGAAGGCATTTCAGTACCATCGCGGCATAGTCTCGGAGGCGCTGGGGGTAGTGACCTTGACGGCCTGCAGAAGAACAGATATTGATCCTGGGTGAAAAAGTACAGCCGCTTAAAGAACATCCTGTTCATCCGCTGATGTACACCCCGCTGGGATGTCAGACGCACCAAGAAGCCTTCTACAGGCTGAGGCTCATCTTCTCTCTCGTCATCGTGCTTTATGTAGGTGTGATAATGCTGCCTGGGGCGTAATTCAAGCTCGTGAGTCATGTGCATAGCAAGAGAGCCATACATCTTCTCCTCGTTGGCGCCCAGGATCCATTCCAGGCGATCGTACCGCTTCCAAGCAAGCCCCATGATTTCAGTCTTGGACCACTGTTGTAAGACCTCGGCCCATTCAGGACGATTCTCCAGCATCTTCAAACACCCACGTACTATAGCCATCGCTGGTGATTCTTCCTGAGCTACAGCCCGACTGAGGATTCCAGTACCCTTTCCCTTCGAGTCCAGAGCAGCTTCTAACTGTTCAAAGGGGTTATGGAACACAAGAGATACGCCCAAGTCGGGAACATGGATAGGCAGCGAAGACGGCCGCCGCTTTCCCATTATCTGGCTTAGAAAGGTAAACCATTCCACAGCATGCGTGGAGGACTTTGGCCGAATTATGTAGATCTTAGTCCCACGCTTACAGGGACCCCAGAGCACAATTGCCTTGTCCAGATGCGAATAGAGGTTCACATTCATTTTCTTTCGCCCCAAGGGTATTTGATAATGCGGGGCGACTCGCGTGCCTGTCTTCTGCACTTCAGGTATAACACGGGTCTTGTACATTTGGAGACAGAACGGTGCATCTTCGTCGGAAGCGAGACGGCATGCCACCAGATACTCTCGCCATTGATCCACAACCCTGGTTTCCATCTTCAGACTGTCATTCTCCGAATAGTCGTCTGGAAGCTTTTCCTGCACCGTCTCCTCGAGTCGAACGACCATCTTCTCGGCTTTTATAACCTCCCCTTCTTTCATCTTCCGTCTGTACGGCCATGTTCGTGAAAGTTTAGCATGCGTCCTCGACACTCGAGCCAAGATTCTCTGTTGTTTGTCCAGTAGGTTGTCATCAAGGTTATGCTTGGCTGCCCGTTTCGAGAACGAATGTAAATGGTCCCTCTTCGATCGACGGCGATGTCCGTTCCGGAGGGGCTCCTCTTCTGACGTCTCGACCTGAGGCTCCTGTTGTTCAAGGTTGGTAGACGATGGAGCAGAGAGTCTTCCTTTCCCTTTGGATCTCGAATCTGGTCTTAGCAACGCGGTCGTGGATCCATAGTCACTAGCAGGTACCATGGGGCTTGACTGACTGGCTCCATTTTGGTTAGGTATACTTAGCGTTTGCTTACTTAGTCCCTCCCCGGTCTGATCCAGGTCCATTGTACCGGGCCTGGAGGAGGCTTGACCGGCGTCGATTGGCTCCTGCTCCCTAGCTGTATAATATGCGGAACTCCCATCCTGTCTCCTCATTGACGAGGCCAAGTCGCGTTCACGTTTGTTGTCGCCCGAATCCGAGGGCACAGCTTCCGAATCCGTAGTAACACTGACAATGTCATGATCTTCTTCCAGGGTATAAGGCACAGTACGAAGGCTTTTCCGTGTCGGTGCTTCTGCATCACTGCTCTCTTCCTCCTGATCTCTGTCCGTCCTCTCGTCCTCCGTGGTATCTGTAACCGGCTCCTGTTCCGGTGTCGAATCCTCACGGTCGGTCTCAGGCTCCTCTGAATAATGCGCAATGACCGGGTCCGCTGAGAACGTAACCGTCTTCGACGAATATTTACTGAACTTTATGCGCGTCTTCCACCATGATTTGCGGTGATTCTGCAGCCAACCCTGGGGGATCGGTCCGATGAAGAACCTCCTATTGGTCATGTGTATGTGGTGTGGAGAAGCATGATGCTTCACGGATCAGTGCCATTTCAGAATATTGCCTCGGAACTAATAGAAGAACGTACAAGCTTTTGAGCAGTGTGCGACTCCGGATCTAGACCTTGACACTGGTCCAGGTGAAATGCGACGTGTGGATCAGTGGCCATGTTGTTGTCGCTGACGTCCGGACGTATTCATTTAGCAGAATCCTTTTCCTATTTGCATTGCTGCTAGTGACTGATCCCACAATGAGGTTCTCATTGCGGAGACAGCACTGCTTCGAGCGTCCCCTTTATAAAGTTGCCTGAAACCGACCACTCCCCTTCGTCATAGGGAGAGGCCCGCTCTCACATGATCCTGGCACGTGATCTCACTGCAGCTCTGATAAGCTTATCGGAAGCTGATGGATTATGATGATTAAACTACTACAGTATTTGGTAGATGGAATTCTTATCTTCCTTGCTTTTGAGCTTTGTATTGACCCAGTACTAGTAGTATATTTACGCCTGTTGGTAAAGGTACTGCAGTTGTAAGACACGATAGCATTAAGCATGGGGAACAAGCTGAGTCCATGTTATGCTGGTGATGACGTCATAGTAACTGCCAGCTACAAAAAGAGTAGGAACCTGAACTGCCAAGGCGCCTCTAATTTCCTCGATCCACCACAAGACCCACCCACGTTTACTCCTGTAGTAGTGTATGTATTGATTGTTTATCTATCGATCTATGCTTATTGATAATCATTGTCATATACAACTAACGCGATGGGCTAGACCGCTCCTTGTCACACATATGTATCCTACTATCCAATACTTGTATGCCATGCGCCGAAGTTGGTGCTTCCTAAGTCGGCTGACCGTGATCTGGGCGACCCGTCTTCTGATGGCAGCATGCGTCTTCAAGCCCAAATCTCCTATCGTGTTCTAAGCCCAGACAAGGGGAGTATTCGTTGGGGGACACTTTAAGCCGTTGGGGTGAAGGAAGGCATCATGGAACATCAGGGCCTAGTAGGAGTCCAACGCGAGAGGGGGTTGAGTCTACTGAGAACTCTATCTTCTCCGGATGCTTCCATGCCTGGGCTCGCACATCTCGACCGTCCCCGCCGCCCGATGATGAGTGCGGGCATCATTACCGACTGTGGTCCTCTTTGCTTGTCAGTTATCCGTTATGGCACTGCCTCCGATCACAGTAGGAGCCATGGAACTGCAACCACATCCAGGAAGTGTCACCCTATCCTGATTCCTTGCCATGTGAGTTATCGGTGGATAAATGAGTAGAGTCTGTCAATCCATGGTGACAATTGGTGGTCACGCACTATCCCATGTTACCCCACGTGCTGGCTGCAGTGGACTCCAGTAAGCCCCCGATTCAGAGTCCGCTTTCATGATTACAAAGAACCAAGGCAACATTCGCGGGCTCTTTCAGCACATTGTTGTTAATCTGCAGGCCCTCGGGTCGCAACTACCAATAAATCGACGACGGTTTTCGGCTGTTTAACATTAGGTGCTACTATGATGTAAGCCACGTTACATTGCTATCCAGGCGGGCTATCCATCTCGCTGGCGCTGCTGAAGTTCTGTGCCGTTGAATCGGACGGTTCCATAGTTTACGTCCCATTCATGGCATTTTAATAGTACCTCTTCGTGTCTAAGCGGGCCAGCAGATGGTCGAAGACTGTTGCAGGCTCCTCCTTGGCAGTAAACGTCGTATCCCACCGTTCTAAAGATTTCGACGTCGACTTGATGCCTTCGATACTGCGTAGATAGCCAACAAAGGCAGAAGTTTGTTTCCTAAAGAGATTGTATAATCGACGAACAGCAGGCTCAGCCTCGTGCCGTACACCATTAATACCGTCCAGTTGCGACAGCGGAGCGAAGGTGAGAATCGTTCCGAAGATCTCATCAAGAAGTATTGCGACCTCGGTATGCTTTTTGCTGAGAAAAAGAGCATAAAGCATCTGATCTAAGACGTCTTCGTGGTAGTCCCGCAACCTAGGTACTGAGCTGGCCGCTTCGATTGTACCATCGATGTCATGTCGGTCAAGACACGATTCAATATTAGAAAGCGTCTCCTGGAATCGTCGCCATGTAGAGCCAATGCCGACATGAAAGCAGTAGTCACTTAGGGCCAGCACAAAATGCTGAGCATCGACCCGAAATTTCTGAATCACATTCCGCGTATCACCTGATAGGGAGTCTCTCGCAGTTGAGTCTCGAATGAGACTTCTGACAACTGAATCCATGCGTAGCAGTCGAAGCAAATGCTTGAAGAGACGGTCATATTTGTCAAGAGAACTCGGAGTCAATATGGTCTCCAGGACAGGCGAGGGTTTATATTGTAGACGAAGGAAATCAAGCGCCTCGATGGCATTTGGGTCCTTGCACTTCACGACCTCTTCATCTGTAAGGTCACGGATGGAGAAGCTTAGGCCACCAGGTAGTTCCTTCTCATTCCATAGGCTAGAGTTCATTGACGGGTCCAGGCGTTTCTCCGCATCATGGCATTCATTGAGTAGTCCCATGAGCACCAGCCGTAATTCTGAACTGGCTGGAGGCCATGTATCCCTGCTTCCCAAGCGCAAACCAGCGTGAACGTCACTCCTCACTACACCAGCCTTTCGCTCACCACTTTCCATGTCGGGATCGAAAAGGGAATCAGAGAGACGAGAGGTGAAATAACCATCACCAAGCAGCTGAAATCGCCATTGGAGGTTGAGGTGGGTTCGGAGATGATGCTCTTTGAATAGTAGCTGGAGACACGAGAAATCGATCAATAGCGCCTGGGAGCATAGAAGGGGCGCCAATGATAGGTAATATGATGAAGTTATTTCAGGTCCGAAGCTGCTGTGAGGTGCAGGTTGTTCGGCATGGCAGTGGACATTTGCGTCAACTAGACAGCCAAGCTTATCCCGAGAGCTTCCGTCCATTGGAAACAGCCCCGTGTTATTTGGCATATTATCGAGGTCAAAGAGTTCAAAAGTGTCCGCGAGCACATCTGACTCCCCAGTGGGCTCGGAAGCCTCTGTAACGAACATTCTGTCTGACCCTTGATTCATATCACCACGGTTATATTTGAGTATCTCAAAACGTAGTCTAGCTTCGTACTCGGTGGCCTTTTTTTCGATCCTGGTGATATCAAACCACGTACCTGCGCATTCGAAAGTGGGCGAAGTAAAACGATACATCTCGTGGTTGGCGACTGGGTGTTGTGGGTGATGTGTTTTGAGGAGCCTGAGGCTTCGTCCACTCTCGAAAACCAAAGACGCCAGATCATTGGGAATGAGGGAGGGCATATTATCAGGTAAATATTTGTAGTCAACCCTCGGCATCTTTGTGGTCTTCCTAGTTCTCTCCTGGTTCTCCACGATGACAAAGCCCCTACCACTGGAAGCCAGCTCTACTGATGCCGCTGTCTCTGCACGAAGGCCAACCCAAGTCTCTACTTGCCTCAGCCAGGGCTCGGCCACTCGACTCACAATCTCACGTAAGAGAGGTTCTATATGGTCGAATACTTGCGAGAAGTGGGCGGCTCGTTCAGAAACAACAGATATTATCTGTGCCTCGGACATTGCAATATCAACTACCTCGATCACATTCGCCAGGACGCTCACCACCTTGCCGCATTCACAAAACAGCGCCCTGATCTGAAGGAGAGAGGTAATACTAGCGAACTGTCCGACAAGCCGCTTTTCGAGTGTATGAACAACCACAGCCGCGGCACTCGCAAAGGCAGACCGAGCAGAAAGTTCTTTTGTCCTGCTCGGCACTGTGTTGGCAAAAGCCCGTATTTTCTGCATGTTTGTGCCGCACTCAAGCAGCTCCTGGATAATTCCTTCTAGTGCAACCGATGTTACTCCAGAAATCCGAATATTGTTGTGCACTCGTTCGAACCGTTTATTTTGTTCATTGTAAGAGAAAAACATGGAGCTCCACCCAAGCCCAAGCTTGAGCAACGCCTGGAAGAACACATCTCGCCGGACCATGAACCTCTGGGTTTGTGTTCCCACCTTTGCAGCTTGCCGTGCCAATGCAGCATCAAAGCCTTTCGCACCCGATTCGCTGAAATATGCCGAGACAGGTTCGCGATATGTCCTCTCCCGGTATTTCTCCCATGATTTCAACAAGCCGCAGCGCTCTTGCTTGATATCCTGATTTTCAAGTGCCCATATATCCTCCAGTTCCTCTTCAACGTTCTGCTGATCGGTAGTCGCAGTGACTTCATTTTCACTTGAAGTATCAGTATCCAACGCTAGTGTCTGATCCGCATCTGCTAGCTCGGTACCGAATGGATTTAGGCTAGAAATTTCGGTGCCGAACTTGTCGAAGATATTCAATGGAGACTCGAAGAAAGCACTCGAAAGGTCAGGCAGCTTCTCATCCCGCCCCAAGGGCTCCAATGGCTGTAAAGACTGTAGGGTAAACTTGGAGACTCTCCACAGGCCGTGACTGGAGAACGGGTCTGCAAGAGAGTCCTCCGGATCCATCGTCCTCACGCGATACCAAGTTGTAGATGCTGTACAGGGCAACGGGTCGCAAACGATCGCGTAGTCGCGGGAATCGGAGAGACCGGACCGGCACTCCGGTAGAAGCAGATAAAGGGTATTTAGGGGCCCGCACAGCTATAATATGCAATACTGGGTCAGTACGATTATACTCAAAGGCCCTTCAACGCGGTAAACAACGTGGGATGACATACGGTGAGATGTAGGTGTGGGGTCAATGTGGTCGCAAGTGAGTACAGGCGTTAGTGAGTTGATCGATATAGCAAGAGCACCATCTTAAATTCGGAAGCGCGGCACTAGAGGAGAACCACGTCGCTGCTGCTTGTATGGCTATCGGTATTGTGTATAGAAGCTGGCCATTGAATTGGCCCAGAAGTTCGTAGGCAGTCACGTGGCTCGATGTGACTATCTGCTGATAAAGCCGATAAGGATCACGATAAGGATCACTTGTAAACTATCTACTACAGTAAAACACGGTTATAAGCAATCATATGAGACACGCCACCAAATTGCTTATATTGAGGTCTTCCTTATATTGAATATTCTACCTAAAGTAGCCACGAATATCACTTTGTTGCGTGTTTAACACCTTTCTTCGAAGAATATCACGTTCCTGGCATGCTCGCGAGTGCAAAGATGCTTGATTAGCATCATTTTGTTGTTCTTCGTACAAGCGGAGGTCATATAATGCCTGCAGGGCCCTGGTAGATGATATAAATGGTAGAGGCTCTACCATTTCATCATCCTCTTCAACCTCATCTTCAACTGCAGTGTACTGGCTTAGAACAATATCATCAATATCAGTAATTGTATCATGAACCTGCTCTTCTAAAGGATTCAAGAACTGGTTAATCTGCATGACATCTTGAATCCGTGCAGTATCCCGCAACTTCTGTAGACTAGTAGTCAAATCATGTAGGATAGCAGAGTCAGGCATAGGATTATAAGTGTCATCTGAAAGCGCGCGTGTAAAGCAGTGGCGGATTATATCATCTTTCAAATCAAGATTCCACGCAGATATTGACCAACGGAGCGCTTGCAGAAGATTCATCGTAGTTATAGGATCATATCCCCGGTCATATTCAGTCATCATATAAACCAGCCATTGCTGTTTCCAGTAAGCCTTCCAGGTCCGGATAATGCCTTGATCAAGTGGTTGGTATCGTGATGTTGAATTGGGTGGCAGCCATATAATCAGAGTATTTGATATCTGTGTTTTGACCTCTTCGTACGCAGCAAGATGAGATGAGAAGTTATCACATAATAAAGCAACCTGCCGGCCAGCCATTCTCTGGTCAAACCAAAGAAGCCATTCTTTGAAGATCGCGGTAGTCATCCAACTCTTTCGATTACTTCGCCATTTGCAACCTAAATTCTCTGGGTTTATACCTGCTGCTTGGAAGACTCGAGGCTTCTTTGCTGCACCAATAAACCATAAAGGAAGACGCTCAGAGGCATCAGCATTGCAGCAGAAGTGTATACTGATACGTGCCTTATCTTTCTTACGTTCAGGGATTGAACGCGTAGAAAGACCACGATCCGGAGGCATTCTCCAATATAAGCCAGTTTCATCACAGTTGAAGATATCACAAGGCGCGTAAACACGTAGCGCTTTGCGTATCAAGACCATCTGGTCTTCAGCATCACTTCCCAGTGTTATCTCCCTGCCCTCTCCGTACTGCTTGAGATTCTTGATGTTCCTCCTATATTGGAAGCCTCGAAGCCAGCCGTTGCTGAATGACGGCATCATCTTATCAGGATAGATAATCGGCCAGTATTGCTTTGCTTTCTCGCGTATGACTTCTTGTGGGATAGTAATATAGGATTGCGCGCGTTCAAGCCCGTCAATAACTGCTGCCTCTAGCTCTGGCCACAACTCCGTTCGACGTCGTTTATCATTCAATCGATGGTCGGGAATAGCATCAAGATAATCGAATCGGGGAGACAGGAT